CATAATATTTTAATACTTCTTTTTGAAACCATATAAAATTAGGTTTCACTGCTTTCTTACTACATTTATACAACATATATTTGATTATTATTATCACCACATTAAGAGGATTATTATGTTTACCTTTAAATCCAAATAATATATGTTCTTCACTTAAGTGAATTTTACTTTCGATGTATCCTTCAATCCATTCAGTAAATTTTGTCCAAATATCTATTGCATATTGACAATTACAAAGCACATGTGCTATAGTTTCAGCTGGATCTTTACACAATGAACATGCTGGTGACTTAACATAGCCAATCTTATATAAATAACAATTAGTGCTGAGAATATTATGTAAAATCTTAAACTGAAACCATCTTAAGTCACTGCTTTGTGTACATCTTTTTGCCATCAAACTATAGTTTATCCATTCTGTTTCAGTAATGTGTTTATTAAGATAAAGCTCCCATTTGCTATAGCTTTTAAGTTTTGTAAATTTAGAATTTTGCAACATTTCATAAAATAATCTACTACCTGAAGTACTGTTGATTTTAGAAATATTATAAGGTAATATTGGTGTTTGAGAGATGTCTTGTATTTGACTAAAGTTAATTCTTTGTAGGTATTGGGCGATAGATTGTTTCAACCCTTGAAATGTTAAAAAGTCTGTATTCAAAGCATATTTTTGAATAAATTCATGGAAATTAAACCAATTTCCTGTATCGTTGAAGAAATCGTTAATATATGTTATACCTTTTTCATACCAATGGGAAAAATATACTGGCTTATTATCAATTGTTATGTTATTATTGTACCAGATTGACATATTCAATACATCCGTAACAGATAGTTCCATATTATCACAACAATTTAAATATGATGCATATACTGACAGTGTTTCCAAAACTGGTTATGGATATTTTGGACAATATTGTTTTCTATGTAGAAAGCATCAGCCAAATTTACTATTTTTGCCTCAACTAAATGATCATAAAAGAAACATGCCCATTTGGACTTACTAACAGATAGTCTTTTGATCCAACAAAGTTTCTGAGCTGCAATAACTTTTTCTAATATGGGTACACTTATGCCACCATACTTAGGCTGTAGTGACATTGTATCTCTCTTGACTTTATCTGGTTTAAATTTCCAAACAAATTGAAAACATTTCTTTTGAAAAGCTTCTATTATATTTTTAGGTGGGCTTGGTATACTGCTGAATAAATGGTTTAGTTTAGGTAGTAATAATGATTTTAACACAATATTTCTACCCATTGGTGTTAAAGTTCTCTTTGTCCAATGTTCCATTTCTTTTTCAATATTATCTAATTTATTTACATAGTTCAGATTAACCATATTTCCTAAATCAATATCAAATTCAATACCTAATAGCTTAAACTGTGTTTGTGTCCAGTCCAACTTATACTCTTTACAGAGTTTGTATCTTGATCTCTTTTTGGAACCTATCCATATCAATTTGTTTTTTCTGTGTTTACTTTTAATCCTGAAAATCTGGCAAAAAAGGATAATGTACTCATTGTAGAGTAGAGACTTTTTTCTGATCCATCTAAACTAAGGGTGGTATCATCTGCAAATTGTGCTAGAAGGAAATACATATTACCAAGTTTTAATCCCGTTATATTTTTATTATTTCTTAACATTATTGCTAGGATTTCTGCGCATAATATGAAGAGATATGGTGATATAGGATCCCCCTGACGACAACCTCTTGTAACCTTAAAGAAGGGGCTTGCAAAACCATTAACCAAAACACTTGTTTCAATGTTTTCGAAAAATAATTTTATCCAATTTTGAATACTGGGCCCAAAGCGGAAAAAGTTAAGTACATTATGTATAAATTTTCTATCCACAGAATCAAATGCCTTTTCAAAATCAATAAGTAGTAGTAAGCCTGGTATCTGGTATGATTCTGTATAGTCTAATATATCATAAATAAGTCTAGTCACTTCACCTATATATCTACCCGATACAAAACCCTTTTGATCCTCATGGATAATCAGTGGTAAGATTGGCTTTATTCTATTTGCAATTGTCGATGCAGCTAATTCATAAGTAGTATTTAAAAGAGTAATAGGGTGCCAATTTTTTAGAAAGAGTTTTGATTTGTTTTTCTTTAGGCAAGCAAGTGATTAGACCTTGTTTTTGGGTAGTAGATAAGGCCCTGTTTTATATGCATAATTTAAAGCATTTATCAAATATTTATTGAGGTCTAACCAAAAGAACTTTAAAAATTCTGCTGTGAAGCCATCTGGGCCAGGACTCTTATCATTTTTCATTTTTTTTAGTGCTTCAAGTACTTCATTATAGGTCAGCTCCCCTTCTAAGGAAAGTGATGTTTGACAGTCTAACCTAGGCACTGATACTTTAGCAAAAAGGTTTTCCAGATCAATCTGTGTACAGTCTTCAGTTTCATACAGTTTTTCATAAAAATGTTTCACTTCTTGAATGATTTCATGTTGTTTCTTCAATAACGTTCTTTCTGGTTTTCAAGAGCTGAGATAGATTTAGTTAGAAAATTTCTACTTTCTAATTTTAAAAAGTAATTGGATATTTTTTCTCCATGTTCTATCCACTTGGCTTTGATCTAATAAAGGAGCCTTGTGTTTTTGCTTTATGTAAGTTTTCTAATTCAAGTTTAGTTGATTTGTATTCTTCTAGTAATACGTCTGACTGCCTACTAGCTACGTCTCCCAGTTTAATCTCAATTTCACAAAGTTTTTGTTCCAGATTCGATTCCAAAGCTATATATTCTTTTTTACGAGTGGATGAAAAAAAGTATTGATGTTCCTCTAATATTTAAAAGTAACATCTCCCATAATAACTGATCATTTATTGTAAACATCTTTCTATCTTTAACAGTTTTGTCTTCGTATTGTTCAAGAGTGTTATTTATTGTTTTTTTTAATCATTTCTACATATTCCTTGTCCTTTAGTTCTCAATTATTGAATTTCCAGAATCCTTTTCCCCTTTGCATGTCCGAAAGTGAAATTGTAAGAGATACTATAGAGTGATCTGAGTTTATACTAGGTATGATATCACTTTTCTCAATGGACTGGAGAATATTATGGGAAACTAGAAAATAGTCTAAATGAGCTTTAATGGTGTTGGTTGTCGCCAGGTGAATCTTCGAGCTGATGGGTAAAACTCTCGCCATGGGTCTTTCAGATCTAATATACCAATTGTTTTGAGTAATTCCTGTCTTGCTTTAGGGTTATTTATATGTTTATATGTTTTTACTCTTCTTGGAAGCCAATAGAATTGGATCAAAACTTATAGTACAGTAACGCCCACAGTGTTGCTGGTTTGCGTGTCAATGATTAGTCTGTTGCCTTCTGTCTCTATGAAACTGTGCTATGAAGTTGTTTGATTAAATAATTGATTGCTTTTTATCACAACCACGTGTGGGAATCCGGTGGAATCTGTTTATGCTTCTAGGATTGTGATCAGGGCTAGATAAGCAATGGACAGAGGAACCACAATTTTATGCGATAGTAAACCATGTGTATTTGTTTACAAACAGAGAACACGTGACACTAACCGGATGTTTTGGATTTTGAAGGTGAAGGACACACAGAACATGTTTTATGGTTTTGGCATTTGTTCTGGTGTTTGTGATTCAGAAGTTTTGACTTTGTCGGTCATTGACAGCCCCAATCCAAAGGGCTGGGTAACTCCTGTGATTTCATCAGGGATTGCCCCCGAGCTAAGTCCCCTGATATACAGCGATCTTTATATGCTGGTTCAAAGCTGTGACAGTGTGTCATCCTTTGGTAGAATTGAAAAGAAGGCCTCGTGGAATGTATTTTCCTGAAATAACAGGCACCTTTATTTCCCTCGCTTGTCCACCACTTGAAATAACGAATCAGCTTGAGAGATTTGTTGTGCTGCTGTATGACAGAGCAACCAACCTCATGAAAGTGAATGAAGCAAGAACGTATTTGCTCGCCACGAAGGGGAGCACATTGGACAATATACCCCAATAGAATCAGCTTTGATACAACATATAAAGAGAGCTGTATATTTGGGGGTGACTTTCACCTGTTCTCTCAATATTCTTGCTACATAGTTTATTAGGATTTAAAATTGAGTTAAGATCACAATTTTTGGAAAAGTCATTTGTAACAAGAAGTGCACAATTTGATCACTTATTCCCTGGGATATCTGTGGAAGCGACCATAAAAATCATGACACTATTTGGGTAAAATTTCAGGGACCTTACTTGATTTATTAACGGGTTGTTCTGTCACAGTGACAATGCTACATTCTCTGTCATTTGTGTCAGTATCGTCTGATTTGTTTGTTCAAGCCAACAGGACTTACACAAGTCAATAAAGTTTGGAGCAATGACATAGAAATTCCTTACAGAAACCGCAGTAATAACAACAAACGTTACGGTAACAGGGAGATGTGGCACACAACACGTGACTCGAAGATGTAATATCCGATCCGTGAATAACTATATATGGTATGTGTGTGTCACAAATTCATACCATACCATACACGGTTCGGAGATTACGTTTACGAGTCACGTTTTGTGTGCCACACCTCCCTGTTACCATAACGTATATAAATATTGTCATACACACTTCGGAGTTATGCACGCTATCTGGCGAGGTCGCTATATATAAACCAAGGAATTTCCAAGTTTCGGTAACTTCACGATGTCAAAACGGACGATGTCACATTTCAGTATCCTGAGAATTAAGGAAGTAATTTAGAAATGAAACTACTCAAAAAACAAAATGATTTGCGTGCAGAACACGCAGGTAGCAAAATATAGTGCGTGAAATGTAGGTTTTTGCCGCAACCCGAACACTGAGTACAGATGTACTCGTGAATGTTAACATCTAAAAAACAGTCTTCCCAATCAGTTAGATCTCTTCCTCTTTAGATACATCCCCAAATACCTGCGTTTGATTCCAAACATGGTTATGTATGTGTATGTATGTGTGAATTCCATGTCCTTCTGACAGGGTTGTCCTTTCTGCTGCAGGTCACAGATCCCCGAAAATAGAGGAGAACACGTGCATTTCCAAGGTACGTCAATATTCAAAGTACGTGTACGATGTATATAAAAGTACATGCATGTGATAAAATGAAACGGGTGCAATGACATGCATCCCTGTAGTTAAATAATGCCTGATTCATGTCTGCACTTGACTGTTTTTCTTCAATACAGATGTTAACCCGTACTCTGGCCTGCAGGATAGTGTGGATGACAAACAGACTTACACAGAACTGAAGAATTATGAAAATACTGAATTCCATCCTTCTAAAGGTATCCAGCCGAACTTATATTCATCCCTGGATCCCTAAACTGGATATCGACAGTTTTTTATTGTGATCATACCAGCAAACCAATCAAATAGTTCATGCATGGTGTATCATTCCTTTATTATCATACCCTCGAAATCTTGAGTTCTCAACAGTTATGTAGTTTCTATACGCAAGTTATACTTATTTTCAGACACTGTCAACACCTATGAAGATATCAACCAGACCTCAAGACATGCTTATGAAGACGGCAAGCCTGCCATGTATGTGAATGCTGATATCAAAGGCAAAGGTATGACTGATGTGGAAGTTAACAAGAGCACTATAAAACAATGCATAGCATGAAAATATTCAAGTTGGAATACAGGAAGGAATAGTCCCCTCCTTCCCCAGCTCCACGTTTTAGGCAAGGACCGATTGTGGATAAAAGTAATACAAGAAGCATTTTTAGTAGCATTTGGTATCCAGGCTATTTTACCTATTTAAAAAGGCTGATCACGAACAAATAGGATGAAAAAGTGTTTTTGACCCTCAAAATTGAAAACAAAATGGCCGCCAAAATCGCCCAATATAGTAGTAGGTATTTTCGTGCATCTCGGTATTTTCGCCTATGACTGTATCTCTGGTTTTTTTTAGCAATTTTGGAAACTTGACCGGTGACCTTTTATAACTTTTAAAGAATGCTGATCATTAATAAATAGGGTTCCAAGCTGAAAAATGTTTTTGAGACCTCAAATTTGACAAACAGAATGGCCACCATAGTCGCTGCAAGTAGTCGTAGATGTGCATGGTATGTCATCACCTGTGACTATATCTATTTTCTAATTTTTTTAAACCTGACCTTTTTAGACATTAAAGGGGGCTGATCACGAAAAAATAGAATACCAACTGAAATATATTGATTATAAAAACTCAAATTTGAAAAACAAAATGGCCTCAAAATAGCTGATTTTGTGCTGATTACATCATTGTTACCTCAACGGTAATGAGATAGTGAGGAAAAATATAGTATTTAAAGTTATCTCAATACACAACTACATATTTTTCATGAACAGTTTTAATCATTTCGAACAAAAACAATACGGATAATCAATAAAACAAACAATTCTAAACACAATATATCAGCTGAGCCATACCAACATCATAACAATAATGTTATTCACACTTGATTCTCATATACATAAGAATTCCAATGTCCCATGTTATGCTTAATAATTTGGTCAACACAACCATAAACAAGGTTCAATTTAACATATAATAATATTCAAAGATTCATTGAATAAGCATCTTTGTGACTTGCCACACGCAGCAGTACAAGGAAGATTTGATCTCTTGCATTTGCAGTGCATTGTTTGACATGAGCATGCAATAAGTGCAAAATAGGCTTCAGGAATGGGATCCCAAGACATCAGCTGGGGTTCTTGACCTTTGCATGCTCGTGTCCAACCCATCTCTGTGAATTCAGGAAGTGATGGAATAGCTTCCCAGGCTTTCCTCCAGATCATGATTTGGTAATGGACACGCTGGATGGGGTAGCATGTTGGTGGCATCAACTCAGGTTTAATAATAATAAGAATAATCTACTTGTAACGCGCTGAATCCATGCACAGGACATGCTCTAAGCGCACATATCCGAGAGGAGATGAGAGAAGTTACACAGAGAAGGCAAGTCTGAACGGGAAGGTTTTGGGATAGGGCTTAAATGATGACAATGATTCACAGTCTTTCAGGTACTGGGGCAGAGAGTTCCAGGCATTAGTGGCTTAATGTGCAAATGTTCTCTCCCCATAGCGGGATGTTTTACCATGGGAACATGGAGCCGGGTTTTGGTTTGGGAACGTAGAGTTCTTGCTGGTGTGTAGGCTTTAATCAGATCAGATGTATAGGGAGGAGCCTGACTGGACCGGAGACTAGAAGACAAGACAAAGGAGCTTGTAGCTGATACGTTGTTCCACAGGGCGCAAGTGATGGCTGTATAGAACAGGAGTGATATGCTCTGATTTCCTAGTCAGTGTAACAATCCATGCTGCAGTATTTTGAAGTTGTAATTTGTTAAGATGCTGTTTAGTTGCCACAGACAGAAGGGAATTGCAACAGTCGAGCCGTGACACAATTAGCGACAGGACAAATGTGGCAGTAGAGTTCTTTGTCAGGCACTTACGAACATTACCAATAGTCCCAAGGACAAGAAAGCGGGTTTTGGTAAGATTATTGACATGAGAGTCAAGCGAAAGATCCGAGTCGAGAGTGACCCCAAGAGTCTTGACCCCAGACAACAGATGAACAAAGTGGAATTCGCGTGGTCCTGCCTCAGCCTTTCTATGCTGAGAACCAAGAGAAGACATTCATTCTCTGACTCGTTCAGCTTAAGCTTGTTCTGAAACATTCAGGCTTTTGTGTCCTCACAGCAGCCAGCTACCTGTGAAACTGCATCGTGAGCATCTGTAGCATTGGGAGAGAAAACTTTGTTCAGCTGTGTGTCGTCTGCATACTGCTGTCGGCAGACAGAGACATGTCTATTACTGATCCCAGGTTTGGATGGTTTGTCAAACAAAACCCTACACACAGTGTTCACACTTTGAACATTATGAACACCATATACTTTGCACACAAATTCTTCAGCGGATCTGGTCTTGTCTTGGTTCAGGTTTTCAGCACCCAAATCCTTTAGGAGAAGATGATAGTTGAGAAAGACCTTCTTGGTATGATCACAGCCCGTAAGTGCATGAAATGGCAACAATGATGCAACAGAATGTACTGGCAGTTTCTCGTAACTTTACCAACTGGAATGTACTTTCTTTTATCAGCAGTCCCTGTCAACAACCAGATGTTGACAGCTTTAAGAAATGGAAAGTGTGCCAAGAGAAACAGGCATGTGAGCTGAACTGACTTTTGACATGACATGTGGAATATCTAAAGTTTTGATGGTTTCCATGTGTAAAAATTCACATCAGGGGGTGGTCCACGCTGCCATCCTGCTACTTGTGTTGCATAGAAGGTGTTTTTTCCATCCAAGGTTTCATCCAAGATATCAATATTGTCTGCTGTGAAGAAAACAAATCTGTTTGGTATGAGGCTTAGTGGTATCACAGAACCAGCGTCTGATTCATTGTTATCAACGTTGACTCTGTCATGGACGTGTCAAGTCGCATGACCTGCTTGTAACTTGTCCTGCTTTGTGAAACACCTGAACAAGATCTTTGGATCTCGTTACTGGATGAAGTCAACATACAAATGTTTAAGGAACATGTAGACACTGTCCAGTATGCAATTGATGGCACTTTGTTCATCAACCTCAACACGAGTATGAGATGGTGTATCTATCATAACGAAACTCAGAGTTCAACCATGCCATTGGTGGGTCTGTGTTACAGTCATAAGCATTTTGGTTTTGACGTTTTCTTTTAAAGGAACTAAGACAGGGTAAATGATATTTAGCCTCGGCAGCAATAAGGTCACATATACCTGAAAGTTTACAATTCAAGTCCTGATCAAATCGAGAAGCTTCTGGAATATCAGAGCTGGTGTTTAATGTCAACACCTAATAGAGAATGCTGGTGTTGTTCCAAGTTAACTTCTTGACAAAACATACATTTCTTCCAGTCAATTGGATTTGAACATGAGGGTTTCACTTACATTTTGTAACTGAAAATGCAGTATATTATTCATTCTATTGTTTTTATTTGCCATTTATTGAAAGTAGATACAATATTTAAAAAGTGTCAATGTAAAAGGAGGTGAATGCTTACAATAATTGCACCAAGCAACTTGACATGTCTTAGAAAGGCAGCCATCAAAGTAAAGGGGTCGTTCATTATTTTGAATTTTAAATTACCACCTTTTTAAAAACATTCAAAACAATTGCAACTGTGCTCAGTAATGTTTCACAATGTGTTGCTAACTATCTGAACTATGCAACAACTAAAGCGTTAGGTAACAACTTTTTCTTAATAATTTATGACAATTTTGATCAAATACATTTAAAAAATAATTTTAGGATGAAATAATTTTATAATACATTGTATTTTATTTTTTTAATGAAAGTTAGTTCTATATCTTGTTGTGACAACAATATTAACAGTTTAAATTTACAGTGGTCATTTATGTTTCATCATATACCAATCTAAGCATTCAATATTTTGTCCACTGAAAAGGTGATTTGGCGGCCACTTTGTTTTTCAATTTTGAGGTTCATAAACAATTTTTTCAGTTGGTGTCCTGGTTTTTCGTGATCAGTACCCTTTAAATGTCAAAAAGAGTTAGGTTTAAACAAATTAGAAAACATATATACAGTGACATGTGATGATATACCATGCACACATACCACTGCTTGAGGTGACTATGGTGGCCAGTTTGTTTTTAAATATTAAAAGGTTTTAAAACATTTTTCAGTTTGATATCCTATTTATTCATGATCAGCATTCTTTAAATGTCATATAAGGTCAAGTTTCCAAAATTTAAAAAAAATAGAGATGCAGTCATATGCGAAAATACTGTGCACACCTACTACTATTTTAGGCGATTTTGGCGGCCATTTTGTTTTTCAATTTTGAGGGTCAAAACACTTTTTTCAGCTTGGTATCCTATTTTTTCGTGATCAGCACCCTTTAAATAAGCTAAAATAGCCTGGATACCAAATCCTACTAAAAATGCTTCAACATCTTTTATTTGAGCCTTTTTCCAGAATCGGGCCTAGTCTGTTTGATTAAGTGGTTATAATGCATTGTTAGCAATAGCATGACAATGACCAATCTGTTGCTCGTTTGTCTGACTCAAAATTTAAACGTTCTACTTCATAAATATTTGTGCATTGGATATTACCGTACTGGGGCAAGTGCTATATGAATATTATAATGTTCCTGTTTCAGATTCGCCCTATGTGAACACCTGAAACCAACGACTGAATCATCATTATCTCTGACATCATAATGGGTGACTTTGAAGGTTACATACCAACTCAGTTGTGTCTCAACCTCTGCAACCTTCACCAAGAGGAACGTGCTGGTTTGCTGAAACCTAACCTTTTCAGGAACCCTGTCTACAGACAGCAGTTAAAGCTCCAATGAACAACTAAGAGTTTTATATTAACTTCTTTATGACGGGACCATCTGACGGTTCTCACTTTAAATGAGTGTCTTGCACTATAACCTAAGCATGCCTAAATGAACACCATATTTATTTTCGGCGTCCCTCGTTTACGTTTCTTTATGTACAACTGGTATGAACAACTGAAGCGAATTGACTGTATATGACAATCACGAGGAAGCATATAATTTTAGCATATGTGCATTGTCAGTTGATTCAAAGTTAGATTTTATCGATACATTTGTTTATGATGAATATCGGCGGCGTTCAAGGCAGAGGCAGAAAAACAGACTTTACGTTGACATGTATTGATGAGCTTTAATTTGTACAACAGGTGTCGTAGATGCCACAGTCTTACGACCTCAATATGCCCTATCATCATATATTACAGTTAGAAGACCCTGTCAGATACTTTATCATTTCATTGAGTTCTCAGCTGAACAGAACCGGTATCAACTTCTGGCATACCTGAGGGACTCATCTTGTATCATGGTCATTTGTGAGATGCAATTGATTGGACACACTGAGGAGCGTAACAATAGTTGAGTTGAAAGGGGCAGTGCTTTAGACATATTCATAAAAACAAAGATGTACCATACTATAAGATGTAGTTCAGTAAATAGGTGTCACAGCGAGTGTACATGTTTAATGAGATAAATACTTTAGTAATGTAACAAGGACATCTGACAGACTTCGTTTAGCATACATGTAACTAAAGACGTAACTACAAATATGTTTAATTTTAAGAAAGTTATTTATACAAATAGTACAAATAGCTTGAAAATGCCAAGTCTTTACTTTCTCATGCTTATGATAAAAATGCCGACTGAACAGTTTCCTGAAGTTACTTAGATTTCTACATGTATTTATTCAACCACATTTATATTCAACCTTCTGTTATTTTAATGTTGTAGAATTTATGTAAATAATTGTAAACGGGTCCAGGGGCCTTCATACATCAGTAAATAATTGGTTTATTCAATAAATATGATGAAATACGTAAGTTAACCCTTTCCTCGCTGATACTTCAACTTTTAAATGCAAATTTTGCATTTTTATTATATATTTTAGATACTTGAATATGCATTCACTGTCAATCTCTACAGTGATATTGTTAAAGGGCTTAATTCAGGACAGCCATCGTCCAAATATTTAAAAAGTCCAAAACTATGTACTCAAGACATGTGGGACTTTATTGTAATATGTATTTGACACTAAGCTGTATTTTCAATCACTACTGTACATCCTTATCACTACCGCATTGTAAATTGACTTGTCAGCCCATTAATTATTGTATTAGACATTTATAACCTTCATTGGTAATCCCCCTTGGCCGTGTCTGCCATCACATCAACTGGTCAAGGAAGTGCTATTGCTTTTCTGTCTGTCCATTGATGAGTCGTCGCCTGTCCATTGTTGTCAAAAACTGTATATATACTTAGTATGCTCACATCTAGACAGGGAAGGAGTACGAGTTCGGTATTTGGACTGTCTGTTGGGACGACCACGAGCAGGATAATGCCGCTCGTAGGAAACGCCCTGGGGTTGAGCAGGTACACCGCTCACCTCGCTCATGTCTTGTGTATTTGTTTGTCATGTACTAAAGACGTTTGAACTCAACTATGCCTTCGTCGTCATCATCAACGCACACTTCATCTTAATTATGAGCTAATTCCCAGCTGACGCGTATCCACGCGTTGACAATATTAATCACACTTATAGAATAGTTCTTATGATACATGCTCTGGTCGTTAAATTGACTCTAAATAACAGCAGCATTTGTTTGAAGGTGCAAACTTTGATTACGCATGTGTCTGAGAAAACTTGTGACCTACATAATGATACATGTACCTCCTGTATACATGAGATAGAGAGATAGGAGAGAAAATGTGATTTCCACCTCTTTCAAAGAGTGAGACTAACCAGACTTCAGTGAATCAGCAGCATATTCTATCGACTGCGCACATGTCCTTGAAAAGCAAATGAAACATTTACACATGTTATTGCTGAAGTTGATTTCTGTAGAGGTAAACTGTCAAGCAAAACTATGACTGCCGCATGGGGATCATTTAGGGCTCGATGCCTAAAGGGAAGGAGACGTATTAAAGTCGTTCGATTTATTATTACTTTACAGATTAAGATAGAAAATGCAGCAGAGAGGGTTCGGGTGGTGAACTCAAGACCCTTGCCCTGCATTTCTGTAAAAGGAACAGAAAATTCAATGATATGAATATATTCGTCTGTTTTATCAAACAGGGCAACATCAGGTTTGTTAGGGTTTGTTCCAAAGAAGTTTAAAAGCATTAGAAAGAAGTATAAAAAGAATTAAAAGTTGGCAGATTAAGATGAAAATGCAGCAAAGGAGGGTTCGTGTGATCTTGGCACAGTCAGGCTGGTAAGACCAGGGCCCTTGCCCCTCTACAGGCTGCCCAGGTAGCTAATGGGACTATTCCAAGGAAACACTGCCTCGTCAAACCCACCAAGAACTTTCCGGAGACTATGGAGGCTCTCCAACACTGCAGTCTTTTGCATTACCCAGAGTGTCAGAAGGGCTGTACTCCCGGTGGAGAACCCGGGGACTCTCCTGGTGTGCACCAAGAGTTCAGGAGGTACCAAATCATGGGCACTGAAAACAATGAGGAGCCTGACGACAGTGTTTTGGGGATCCAAATGAGACATTTCAAAGGCGAGATCCGCATATATGTTCCCAATCACGTTGCTGTCAAAAGTGACATAAACATATTAATTATATTTGAATAACGTCACTTGCCTTATCAAAAAGGACAAGATGAGATTGTTAGCTGGAGTTCTCCTGAGGCTGTATATGGGCCTTTTCCAAAGAAACTTAAAAGCATAATTTTCCATGACGCCCTAGAGATGTTCAGAATGCTATAAATGTGATCCCACCAAAGAGTAAGTGTTCCCAACAATTGGAACAACGTGTTCTTGTCCTTTGAGATCATAATGGCACCAAATGATATTGTCAGATCATTTGGTTATTAGTGGTCTATAATCTGCTTTTAATTGATCCATTCAGAGTGAATTTTCATCTCCCAGCACACTATCAATAGCCCAGCGGATAAGTGATCAAATTGTTCACTTTGTGACAAGCATGAAATTTGACATGTTTGTAGCTTATACCCGTCTTATTGAATAAAGATCGAAAGGCCTCGCTTTCGTTATGACTATTTTTGTAAAATCTCAAATTCTCATAAATCACACATCAAATTGTAGGAAATTCGTAGCTGATAAGTTTTTATCTATATATGTCTATATCGACTACATCAGTAAAATAAGTTTGAGATCATCCCATCATCTAACATATGTTTGTCATTTCTTTGCAAATTCAATACAAGAAGCCTCGCAGATTTTGGCCATTTTTCATTTTTGGAGGAAAAGTGAATTTTCACAAAAGTCTTATTTTAACTCAATTTTAAATCCTCAAAAAATATGCATCTAGAACATTGTGAGAACGGATGAAGTTGATTTGAAGGAATATACCAGTAGATCTACATACATGTATAATGTATGAGCTTGATTGGCTATGGATCACCTATAAAAACATATTAGCGCTAACATGTTTCATTTCAACATCAGTGTCAAAGTAGATATCTCATCAGTCTGTGGAAAGCTACTCAATCAATGTGTAATTGTATCTAACTTGACTGAATCAGAAAAGTGCAGTGCACTTAAGAGCTGCTTTGACGCACTTGGACCGGTGTGAACATTTTATACACATGCATTTCGGCAATTCCTGGCAGCCCTTTCATGCCATCAGAAGAGTTGTCCATAGAGGTCCAAGCTCTCCCCTAGAGAGTTATTGTCAGCCCCTATCCAGATAATAATAAATGTAGGAGATATTCTGGGATGACAATGTTTGGGAACCAAGTAGTTATATGATATGTCTATGGATTTATAAAAGATTATTCCATTCACAGTGTGTTATTTCACACAAGCTATGGTCGGGGTAAAATTTACAATGAAACATGTCAGTTTCAGTGTTACGAAACCCTTGTCAAAGTGCTTCTCAATATGGAGATGGGATTCATAAAGCTGGAGGTGTTGATGTGGGTGGTCGGACGGACAGACATTCCAAATCGGTCAAACAGATGCAACTTGTTTGCGCGACGTCCAAGGCAGCGCTGGGTCATTCGTCGCTGGGCACAGAGCGTGGGAATGAGCGTTCTCATGTCGTTTCATACAGAACGATCGTAGTGTAGGTGGATTAGTGATGGCGTGGGATGTATGGGGTCACTGTGACTGGAAGAACGCATTTACATGACATTAACGGACGGTCATTGGTGACAAAATCTTTGAGTTAGATGTGGAGCTTATTGCTTATTGCGCACCGACATGGACGTCGCATAGAGGGCTCGTATTGTTACTGAGTACCTGCAATAGGAGAACACCACCTTACAGGACCAGCACTTAGTCCAGACTTGTCATCCATCGAACAAATCTGGCTTGGACGGCTCAACAGACTGTGCAAACACCGACAACAGCCACTCACCACGCTCAGACAACGTAAAGAAGAATGGGATGAAAATAAACCAAGTTGACACTGGCCGTTTGATTGGAGTATGCCTCGTCGAATCCTGGTTTGTCTTGAAAACAGGGGTGGATCCATACGATATTAATGTGAGCTTGACTTTTCATGGTAAATGACGTGATAGGTAGTAGAGTGCTATGGCCAATCATGAAACAAACGCTATGGCCATCTGACTTTCAGAGACTAAAGCAAATCTCAGTCAGATGTCTCTGTCACACTGTTATACAAAACTATACAAAATATCAGTAGCTGAGACACTTGATGAATATACCCCCCGCTTATTAATAGCATGTTATTTTTACAGTGACAAACGTTTACCAAGCCTCGTATCATTGGTGTCTGTTTTACTGTTTCATGACTTCAAACCTAACACTAAATTTCTTCCTGACTATCATGTCAAGCCTGACATATCTCGTGATATATTACCTCGCCAGTGTGCATAAATTGACATGCCTGATCAACATTCAGTTGACACGAATCGGGGTAGTAAGCGGGTACATGAGAGAATACTTTGACCAGGATTTCAGTTTCACGAAAGTATACTAGCTTGTTTACATTACGTGTATGGGGTGGACAGCGCCAGAATATCCAGTCACAGGATGAGGCTAAAATTAGATTCTACTTCCTGGTTGGTCGGACTACCTTCAATCCAAAGGTGCACATGCCATACGCAATGTAAGTAAAGTTTTTATTGATGAAGTAATATATTTCTTCATTCTGTATGTACGGTGGTTGGTGGAAATGGCATATTTAAGCTATCTCTTAGGTCAGTTACACTCACTATGTGACGATATAATCATTACATGCAGAATACCTGCTGGATTCCCAAATATTTGTAACAGTCGTTATGTAAC